TATTATTACTATTATTATTATTATTATTTCATTTTTTTTATTTTTTTATTTTTTGCATTTTACTCTTTTTGAATACCTATGACACTCCACATTTGAAAGTGTTTTGTTTAAATAATCATGTTTTTTTAATAGTTTTTGTTATTAGTTATGTATATTTGGGCTTTATGTTACATCTTCTGTTGTTTAATGAAAGTTTAATGCATTATTTAAGTATCATGTGTGTTACCATGATGGTGTTTTGTGTTTGCATGAATGACTCTGTGCACCTTCTATATATTAGTATATACTTCTGCTTGTGGCGAAGCTACTTGTGATGAGCTTTGATTCTTCATGTGGCTTTCTCTTTTACCACCTGCATTATTATGGTGGTTGTCAGTATGTTAAAGGTACAAAACAGATTTTAATAGCAGTGTGCATTGTTGAATTTACTGGTTTACATTCAAATTTTCTTGTTTGTAAATTACAGTTTTATACTGTAAAATGTACAGTTTTGGGCCGTAAATGTGTTTACAGTTTTTCTGTATTTTTTACAAAATTATTCTGGCAACCACAGCTGCCAAAATTATTTTGTAAAAATTACAGAATTTTTTTTACAGTGTAGGTAAAAGTACAGCTTGTAAATTATGCACAAAATATTCTGTTCAAAGTGGTTTACTTTTATTTTTTTCCTTTGTTTTTATTTTCACATCATAGCTCATATTTATAGTTTTTCTTCTAGCTATTCACTGACACTTTTTGTCCTTGGTAAAAAAAAATCCACTAATTAAACTAATTTATTATGGACAAAAAATGTTTGATATGGTAGAAATGGCACCACAACTGTGGGAGTCATAATAATTTTATGAATGTTACAAAAAATAAAATGTCTCGTTTAGTTCACTCTTTGTTTTGATCATAGTTTAAAAAAACTTAATAATTCATATGTTTAAAATTAATTAATATTTTAAAGCTGAAACAATAAATCTATAAGGCATTTAAAAAGAAGTAAAAAAGAATGAGGGCACGATAAAAAGTTTTAATGTGACCTTATAACAAAAAGAAAACACTGAAATGTGTTAGTTTACTTTACTAAAAAAAATCAACCCCTAGGACATAAAAGTCCCCAAAGAAACACCCATCTCTGTGATGCACCATAAACACTATCAGTGTGAAAGCTCACACCGCACAGTATGTGCGAAACTGGCCTTGAAGTGCATCTCGGTCTGTGATACTATCATTGTGGTTTGTGTTTTGGATGGCAAGGACCCTGCATGCCAGATCCAATATTGTGCAATGTATGATTTATATTGCTTCCTCAGCTTGTTAAATTACTGAGCTAGGCAAATGTTTTAAGAAACAGAATATGCCACTACAGATCCAGTTCATGGCTAATCTGTTATTGTTCACCATAAAAATGAATTTAATGAGTTAATTTGACATAAAATGGTTATATCCATATGTTTTTTTACTTTTAGTTTCCACATTTACATAGTGCATAGACTGTTAACATTTAATGCTCTTGTTTTTATTTGCAACATTTGCATATTTAACCATTCAAAACAGCACTCTGGGTTCTGCTTCTGCCACGGTGTGATTCTACTTGTGAAAACCGTGAGCCACATTATATTTTTGTCTTCTTTTACTGCAACATTCAGAATGGAAATACAACTGCACCTATGTAATTACATGGTAATAACATGGTAATAACTGTGTAACACCTTCAGGGACAACTAAAACAAAGTTGGATATAATACTGATGTCTTTTTACAATGAAGTGCTTCATATAAACTCGCAAACATAGTTCCAGCCTGCTTTTTGACAGGCTGTTCATAAAATAAAATAAAAAACATTGAGAGACCCAGGGTATACATGTGTTTTAGTACAAAATAAAATAAAAAATCTGTTAAATTGTTCTGAGCAAATATTTTAAGAAGCAAAAAACACCATTAATGATCCAACTCATGGCTCACCTGTTATTGTTCACCATAAAAGTGTGACAAAACCATGCATTACAGAACAGTTAGCTGCACCACACATTACTACCATAGAAATAACATTGATAGCACAGGCCTGTTTAACGGCACAGACAACAAAACCATGACTCGCAAGCGTAGCACAATCCATTTCAATTCATGATAACAATATCACCATTTGTATATAACCATAACCATAGTTGTCCAAAGTTTTAAAATAAAATTACACATCTTATACTGTACATTTTATAAGACAGAATATGATGCAGTGTCTATGTGGGTGGGCCGGACTAGGAGCAGTAAGTGATTCTATCAGACTCTGTAATCATCTCTGGGCACAGAAGCATTGTGTGTGTGTGTGTGTGTGTGTGTGTGTTTTCTGTGACTCTAAGCTCCTGCTTAATTCAAATGAGGGCCAATTATTGACTGCCTCTCTGAAATCCTCTCAATTCATTTGAAGTATAAGAGTCTGCTAGTCAAGACCTTCTAACCTTCTTTTCTTCAGTCTGATGAAGTTGAATCTTGCCAACTCTTTAATACACTACATTATATAGTAATGCAGTACTCTTTAATACACCAAATGGCCAAAAGTATGAGGACACTTGAACGACACCATACTTGCTTTGTTGAGCATTCAATTTCAAAATCAGGGAGTAAAGGCCCGTTCACACCAAGCACGATAACTATAAAGATAACGATAAAGATAAAGTTCTAAAAATCGTTCTCAATATTAAAGAATAGCAGAGTCCACACCACAGCTATAACGATAAAGGCACAGAGAAACGATATCGTTGCAATCATTTTCCGAACGTTTTTTTCCAGCTGATGAATGATACAAACATTGACAGCCAATCAGAATCCATCCTGCTATAACGAGCTCGAGAATTTAAAGCGGCAGACGCGTGTACGCTTAGAATAAACAGACGATATCGTTCGCTGGTATGGACGCTAATATCGTTATTTTTATAGTTATTGTTCTTGGTGTAAACGGGGCTTAAATCTGAACTGTTGCAATCCTTAAACATGCTTTGATTTCATCTGTCCTATGTGGTACTTACTGGTTTAATTTAGGGTGACCATACGTGCCATTTTCCCAGGACGTGTCCTGGCCAGGATTTCTATATTGCTTTGATTCAAAGTACCTCGACAGCGTTTCGAAAACACAAGGAACCGATGTCATACACCGATCGGTCTGCACACGCAAACAAAGCCAAACCCTAGATATTTTTGGCAATATAGAAATCCTGGCCAGGATGCGTCCTGGGAAAATGGCACGTATGGTCACCCTAGTTTAATTATAACTATTGTTCTGAATTATTTATCTAAATCATACAGAAGTAATGAGAAAATAGTTATTAATTTAATATAAACAATGTGTTTTTTATTCCCAAAATGTGTAGACTGTTGTAAAAACGCTCTTTGACACTGGTTTATTTGGACAATTTACAACTTTAACAATTTGAAACAACACTCTGGCTTTTCACTTCTGTCATGTTGTGATTCTCCTTGTGGCAACCAATATAAAAATGGTTACTTCCATTTGCTTTTGTACTTTAATTCTCAAATGTGTATAGTGTATAGACTGTTGTTAAAATGTAATGCTCTTAGACACTGTTTTTATTTGCATCATTTGCAACTTTAGCAATCTGAAGCGACACTCCGGCTTTTTGCTTCTGCCACAGTCTGATTCTCCTTGTGACACCATGATCCCTAGCACACACAGTAAATCTCTGTAAGTCTGCTTTTCTTGTAACATTCAGAATCTGGAAACACAACTGCACCTATGTAATTACATGATAATTACATAGTAATATCTGTGTAATACCACCATTACAAAAGTGCAATAGAATCAGGCACAACTAAGTGAAGACTCCAAAAAGAATTTACATTAACTTGAATGGAATTAATATTAACTCCCAAACAAGCTTTTCATAAACATTGGCGAAAGACCCAGGGTATGTATGTGTCTTAGTATACAGATTTTTAAAAAAAATCTGTTAATCTGTTCAAAGAACACAATATATCTTGATTCATAGAAGATGCTTTATATTGTTGCTACTAGTTACACATGCAGTCAGTGCATAAAGCTCACATCTTAGCAAAAGAAATAAACTGTTTGCATTGCACACAATACAAGGCAATCACTTTCTTATCATTGTACCTAAGAGAATTAAACTCTATACCATAAATCTCGCCAAAACGGTGCATTTACACAAACTGTTCACATTAATGTCACAAACAGATGAAGATTGGCTTTGTTTTGGGCTAAGAGACCTCTAGAGTCCTTTTCCACAGCACTTTTTTTCCTGAGCTAGACAAATGCAACAGAACTTCCATTTATAGCAGTATTCCCATGATAACCACATGAACGCTACAGTCTAGAGTACAAAACAAGCAACAGTCTAAATCACTCTGACATTAAATACTGCCATTGTGTTTTCGATCCTCTATGGCGTTTAAAAGCCACAACCAAAGATTCATATGAATCGTGCAAAAACAATCTGCACCTCAGTAGCTTCACTGAAGTTTTAAATCCTGTACATACAAATAAAAGGGGTGGTTCACTCAAAAATGAACATTCGGTTACACTTTATTTTAAGGTGTCCTTGTTACAGTGTAATTATTCTGAGTAATTATAAGTACTGAGTAATATTAATTAACTACATACTATATGGTTAGGGTTAGGATTAGAATTTGGCATGGATTACTTGCATGTAATTATGCATAAGTAATTGTTATTATAATAGTAAGTATATGGAACATGTGTAACAAGGACACCTTCAAATAAAGTGTTACCGAAAATTCTGTCATCATTTATTCATCATCATGTCATCCCAAACCTATATGACTTTCTTTCTTCTGTGGACCAAAATAGATGATATTTTGAGGACTCTTTTGTCCAGTCCCTCATTGTAAGGACAAAAAAGAGGAAGAAATAAGATCATAAGGTTTGGAACAACATGAAGATATAATTTCCATGTTTGGGTGAACTTTTCCTTTTAGATGAGCTACACCAGCATGATAAAGAATGGAAACCGTAGGACTTACTTTGTGTATTCTTCATTGTCTCTGTCGCACCTTGCATCCTTATGTTTCTCCCAGTCTTTCCCGTGTTTGCAGGTAGTCAATAAAATGATATCATCCCCATTATGTATATGATATAAAGCATTTCTGGTTTCAGAACCGATGCCAGTTAGATACCTCTTCCCTTTGAAGACCAGCAAGTATTTCCGTAAGGGAGGGACATTGTTAAGATTCAGATAACCTTTGCTCCCTCCTTTCTGAGGATGGTCTTTTGAAAACAAAGGGATGGACACATCAAAGCGCGGTCTAAAGTTGTCCATGTCGGTGCTGGCCTTGGCCAGCATGGCTTGGCCGATATCGAAGCCTAGTTCCTCCGTATAATCAGGCCACGTTCCAGAATACAAGTTAAAAATTAGATGGTTCCTCCCTTCGTACCACAGAGGGAGGCTTTGAATTCGGGCTCGGACGTTATGTACATACTGAGAGGACAGCTGGTCCCTGTCTAGAGTGTCTATACTCAATACAAACAGACAGGCCTCATTAGGGTCCGTCGTGTAGAACCGCGATTCCTCGATGGCTGCCAGAATCTTCTGGTAGCTTTCCGAGGGCGCTTCACCTTTCTGAGGCGGATACACGTAGATTTTAAACCCCCGTTCGCAGCGTTGGAAATCGAAGCAGGTCTCCATGCGACATCGCCGGCTCTTGTAGATGTTCTTCTGTATTTCTCGTCTCTCGCGAGGAGACGTGTGTTGATGAAGAAGCAGGGGTCCGTCCTCTTCCTGCTCGGCCTCACCAAGGTACGTCTGCAGGGGAGGATCCACCCATTCCGGCCAGCGGGGCGGCCGAGGTGGGACACCGGCGATCTGTGAGACTCCGTAAAGCTCGGCATGGTTCTGATTGTGGAACTCACCAATTTGTAGGCTACACAGGTAGGCTAGTAGCAGGCTACAGGCCCCCACAGATACCAGCAGGTATCGCTTCTTCGCCTGCATGTGGACAGTGAGAAGCAGGGCAGGAAAAGAAGGAAGCACGGAGGGTCGACTGTAAACCCAGGGGACCAGCTCTCATACCACTAGGAGCATTCTGATATTGCACGGACCACTGTAAGCGCAGAGATACAGAGAGGGTCATGTTAGCTTTACACACCAGAATGAAAATGACAGAATCTAGTATTGTAACTCCATCTGAATACAGTCTTCATTACTAATAATTCACAATAAGACCACATTGAAAATCTGGGATTCAACATCTAATTTGAACCTAGAAAAAATGTAAAACATACAAACATATAAAGTAAAATTATGTCAAATGTAGGCCACTGGATAACAGAGTTTTAGACCCCACTGTAGGCTACTTGATTAAGAATGACTAATTCTTTAAAAAAGTAGACTTATTATCATTATGATCACCAGTGTGGAGAAAAAAAAATCAGTGCGACTTCCAGGGAGGTCTACTTTTTCTAAGTAAATCTTGTGGCGCCATCAGCGATTCGTCTCACGCCATGTATTTGTGTTGTGTAAATCTATAATAAAGTGATAAGTAATGACAGTAGGCTACTTATATTTTGTCAACATTACTGCATGATACCGATCCTTAAAGAAAGTGCTCTGTTGCTATAGTAACCACCTCAGGTGAAAGTCTTAGCAACTTTGTCTATTTAACTAATTTCACTTTTGTCATTACTAAAACTTTTGAAAATGCAAATAAAATGTATATACAGTACACTTAAACTGTATATACTTTCAAGTATACAGATATACGTCTGTATATGCGTTACTGTTACTACTATGGGCTATGGCTTAAAAAAAACTTAAGACAGTTTTAACCCCATCTAAAACGTGGTAAAAACTGACTACATACAAAAATGACATACTTTCTAAAAAAATATATTAAAAAAGAGAAACTTCTGTTTATGTAGTGAGGCTGTTTCAGTACCAAATGTTAGATTTTTACTCTCTTCACCTCACTTGAAAACTCCACAAACTAAGGCATTATTTAAACATAAAACTACAGAAAATAAAATTAGCTTAATGAATAGATTTACATATAACATTGTGATTGCAACTTGTATAATATATGCTAAACAAACTGAAAGAGATAGAGATGCTTTACCTCAGTCACCTGTTGAAGCGTCAATCATCTACTGATGAGTAAAAGACCTTCAATGATTCTCAACTTTATATTAGAAATCAAAGCACTATCAAGTCAGCGCATTATTAGGAGTTGTGTAGAAGTATTTGCCAACCATTTCTGTATTCATAAAGCAAATGTTTTGATACTGTACGTCAGTATAATAATGTGATTACAAGGGGAACTGACAGAAAAACACACGCTATCCGAATCCATTACCCTGATAAAGCAACGTGATGTTAGTTATCTGTTTCTATCTTTACATGCTTGATCTAAATATCTTCATATTTCCATATGTCGTGGCGACCAAAGCGAAACTTCAGGAAAATCCACTGAGTCTTCTTCAAATTGCATTCTGTCCACAAGTCTTGATACATCACAACCTCAGCCTATAATATGCACCAAGTATCTCCAGAATCAAGAAAGAGATCCTTCTATAAACGTGAGGATTGTCAGCCCCTATCTCTCTGGATAAATGTGCAGGTTTTAGAGCAAAATCCATCGCAGAGTTCCTGAGACATCCTGAGTGCTCAAGTTATGTTTACAACTCTCCAAAACCAACACGAAACTTCTCATCACGCCACTCGTGGTCTCACAGCATCCTGGAGACTCTGATAGCATCTCATAATCCACATGGACCACAGCTTTCAATCGCAGTAAAGTCCTTCCAGAGGTTTGGTTTGGTTTAATTTAAAGTTAGCTGTCAGTCACCGCTTGATCCGGAGTCAATCCGGTGGGACCACGTGCATAGACTCCAAGACAAACCCCAATTTCGCTCGCATGACATTCCAGCGTTAATTCATACTCTTCAAATTCACAATGCACTGTGAACGATCAGATTCCGCGTTTTTGCCTCCGGAAGGCACTTGGCGTGAAAGTTAACGCTGTTGTCAGCTGAACGTCACTTCACTCCAGCGCATCTTCACCGGGACGAGCTCGCGAAAACACGCACGCATTCTGTCGCATGCCTGTCTCTATAAGCAATCCCAGCAAGTCTTCTCCTTCAGAGTCAGCAGGCGTGGAGCATGATGGTGAGCTCCTGAGGAGAGTTGGGGAATCCGCTCAGCATCTCTATGAGCTTGAACCTCCCACCTCCACTGAGTCTTTCCTCTCTTGTTATTAGTAGAGGAAGCACTGAGAGAAAGAACGGTCAGCGGAAAGCGTTGATCATCTCAGAAGAACTGTGTACCGACAGATGTGTATCACACGAGGAAAGCATGAGACGGTGACGCACGATGAAAGCAATAACCGAGCCACAGACTGCAAACATCTTCACTGAGAAACTATATAATGATGCTCCTCTACTGATGCACACTGCACCGCGGCAATAATTCCACGAAACGGGTGCATTTTCCATTATGAAAATGTGATTTTCAGAGTAAATTTGAATACTATCGGATATGTCTATGTATCAATAAATTGTAAGGTAGGCCTATTTAAAGTGTAACGGGGCTGACGGTTTTGCACTTAAAGTAGCCATTATTAGCCATTCATTACACAAGGTCGACCATTACACAAATTGTTTATTTAAACGTGAAAATAATGCTGACATTAAGTTTTCAATAAGTAATTGCTTACTCTACAAAATCATGGAAACAGTTTACCATTTATAAATTATTCTGCTTAATGTAACACGATAAAATCCTGAAAACAATAAGCTTTTCCTCTACAATTTCACATCCTGGATATATAATGATGTTATTATGAAGGAGCTATCATTAATGAAATTGTGTATCATTTTAATAAAAGATAGTTAAAGAAGGGAACAGGAAATGAAGTAATGATCACTTTCTTCCGATAAAACCTTAATGGGAATTTTATTGGAGAAGGATTGCTTTTCAGACTGAGGCTCTGAACAATGAAGGACAGATACAAAAAACAGGAAGTGTGTGTGTGTGTGTGTGTGTGTGTGTGAGAGAGAGAGAGAGAATGCAATTTGACAAGACAAGAATGGTTACCATCTTCGTTCATTCAGAGACCATTGAGCTCTCACTGAGGTAGGTGTATTTCGAAATAAATGCTGCCATCTAGTGATGGATTTTGTTGAGATAAAGGCCTGCATTGTGACTTCCGGACAAATATTGCATTTCTAACAGAGAACACAAATATATTGTACTCAGTTCAATGGATAAACAAAGTCACTAGTGTTTGCAACTTTACAGATCTTCTTTATGCACCAAGAGCTTGTAACACTCCAAAGAGAAAGGAAAAATTGAAATCGCATCATATGACCCCTTTAATTTAATCTGTGTTAAATTTAAATTACCAGTGTATTTTTCAACACTATAAATTATATATAATATAATATATAGGGTTTTTTTTGGCCTAATTTAGTACAATCTAATATTTGTAAATAATATATTTGACTTTATCCTGAAGTGCACAATGGTGATACACATGCAATTCAAGGCATATTATTCAACATCTGCTTTAATCTTTATTTACAATCATCTTTCATTCCATTACATCCATTTTATGATAATTGTCATACACTGTATATTTCTTACTTTTTTAGGCATTAGAGAAAGAGTTATAGGTATGGTTGTATGTTAAACTGTGATTTTGGATCCCTTAGGAATTCTTCAAGAAGCTTGTTTAAAGTTTTTTCATCCTTTTCTGACTCTTCTTTTTCTTCATTTATCTTTCTTCTTCTGGGTATGCGGTGAACAAAACATTGAACCCACTCAAACAGACTGCGAAACAGTGCCATTATAAAACACTGAATGCTGCAGAATGCTATGAATATACTTTGAAATGTCTACCAAGTGTCTCTTCCGAGCTGCAAAGTTAGTGTTTGGGTTAAATATCCACAAAAGATATGTTCTGGATAGCAGTCAGAGCAGCACTTTACAGCTTTCAGATCATTATGACATCATAATGCTATCATGTGTGAAAATTCTAAATTCTGCAGGTCCAGTTCTTTCCACTTGTTTTAAATATAAATAGATTAAATCAGCCAATGCAGGAACATGAAATACATGCACTCATATTCAAGAAATAATCTATAAAATAAATAAATAAAAATAATAAAAATATTTTGCACAGTTTATTCTTTTTTGCATTCTTTTGTAATTGATTATGACATTTTCTATGACAAATTATAGTAAATAATAAATAAATTACAAAAATTGAAAAGGTAAACTGAAAATGTGTATGAACTTCAAAATGTCTTATTCAAACATTTACTTCAATGGAAGTATGTGTTAAGTGGAATGGATGGACTTTTAATGGATGGGCTTACAAAATACCATTATATTATCTTTATTTTACAATCATAGTGAAAAGTGCTACATTGTGCTACAAAATAAGCAAACTGAATTGAAAGTAAGAACATTTGACCATCTTTAAAAAAGGAATTCACATATTCTAACACTTTGGTAAATGTTATTAGCAAGTGTGCAGTGAGTGCTCAACTGCATTGCTAATTCATTATTGCTAGTATTGGTGTGTGAACGACTTTGTGTGTGTGTGTGTGTGTGACGTGTGTGTGTGTGTGTGTGTGTGTGTGTTTCTGCACGGGTGTCT